AGAGCCGAGCGCAAAGTAAAAGCTCAATAAACAGTAACGGATTAATCTTCCCGTACCTATGGGCTTGACTTTACTCTTCTCCAGATTTTTATCCCTCAGTCTCTTCCCTTCGTTTCTTTTTGGAATCTACTTCATTACCTTAAATTGGCAATTTCAGGTAAAGTAACGCTGGACAGAGGTGACTTTCGTGTACCTTACCTCTGATTTCTCAGGGAGTTTCCCATTCTGAAACCTTCCTTGCCCGACTGCCGTCTGAAGAAGCCAAATTCAAAGCAGTCGCCGCCACTTGAGCTCACACCTGAGTGCATCCTCGAGAAGGAAACGTTTTCTTGAAAACTTTCTACGCCAGTTTGGGCAGATTCTGACGACAACGAGATTGGCGCGCGTTTCTGTCAACCAATTCGGCGCTGAGTGGCAGAAATTCTGTGAAGGAGTAAGGACGCCTAGGGGATATTGTGCATCTCACTGGCTGGGAGGAAACACTGGATGCCCCCTCCCAGGCCCCGACGGCTACGACAGGTGCGAAGCCCGCCCCGGAGGAGCTTCTACTGCCCGCGCAGGGCTACAGGCGGCGCCGGGGGACATCCATCCCCGGACGCCCAGTCGGAGGCCGGGCGCGGGTTTCCCTCTCAGGCCGGCAACCCACGGGTCCGCAGTCGCCACGCAGCGCGGCCCGCCCCCTTGGGCCCTCCGAAGGCTTGGGAGGGGAGGGAGGCGGGGTCAGCCGCGGCGTCACCGCTGACGTAGCCGCCCAACCGGGCCGCCGCCGCCGCCGCTGTTGCTGTAGCCGCGGCACCGGGGAGCGGGGAAGTGGGGCGCGGGAGATGAGCGCTAAGATGGCCGCTCCGGCTCGGGCTGGTGAGTGTGCGTGAGAGGCGCGCGCGGCTGCGGCGGTTGGCGGAGCGAGGCTCCCTGCTGGAGCAGAGATGCGACGGGAGCCCCCAGGGCCGGGAGGCACTTAGCGGCGTTTTCCCGCCGCGCAGGGCGCAGGGGTCCTGAGGGAGGGAGAGGGGGCTGCCGACGGACTGAGGGGAGCGAGCCTAGGGGCGCGTGGAGGAGGAGGTGGCGGCAGCGGCGGCGGGTCCGGCGAATTTAGAATTGGCGCCTCTGGGAAGTTAAGATGGGTCGAGCGATGCCCTGGCCGGTGCCGGCACCTCGTGAGTCCCCAGAGATGCTGCCAGGAGCGGCGTCCCCTGTGGCCAGGGGTACCACGTAGCCACCCTGCGCTCGGCTGGGGGCGGGGGACGAGTTGGGAGAAGGGGCAAAATTTGGGGGACTTGAGGGGCTGCAGAGGGGGAGTTGTGCCCCGACCCGCGTGCCGGACGGAGCTTGGAGGAGATGTAATCGCGAATCTGATCGTGTATCTGATGCGGGCTGGGGCGCTCTGTAGAGCTGACACTGTCGAGATAAAACCGCATCCTCCTCCTGGCTCTGAGTGCCGCCAAGTGATGCGCGAAGCGCCCCTGGGATGCTTTGGAAGGGCGGTTCTAGTCCTCCATTTAGAAGGAATGTCTTGCCTTGCCTCCATTGATCGGGTCCCGGCACTGCCAGCACCTGCTGCCACTTAGAGACACTTGGGATTTTTGAATACCAGCTTTCTAAACCATTCCCGCTGGCCTTCGGGGAAGGAATGCTAATAGGCTAAACTTATTCGGGGGGCATAAAGAAATGTGTCAGCATAGGGAGAAGAAAATGACTGCTCAAGTTTACGAAATAGTAGGACTCGTCCTCTCCCCCACCCCCGCAATAAAAAAGAAAGTGAAACATGGTAATTGTTTCGACTTCAAGTTTGAGCTGTTGTAAATTCTACTGGTAACTGGATAATTTCTTGCAGTTTTAATTTTGGAAGTTAAAAAATAAGCAAGCCTTGAGAGAGCCGCTTTATCCTCAAACCCCCGCTCCCCATTTTTAAGCCTTGTCAGATCCTGCGAGTAACGGGGTTGTGAAATTAGCATAGAAATACGACTTTCAGGCCCTGCACTTGAATTCCTTATTATCTGTTAAGTAGCTGCCTGTGGGGTAAAAGTAGGGGGGTGGTAATGTTGGGCCTGGAATTCCATTTTGAGTTGTCTTTAATACCAGCTTTAGGTATAAACAAGGAAAAAGAATTGGCTGTTCACTGTGATCAAATTAGGAAAGCCAAGCATAAGTTAAGCACATGTTCGTAGAATATTTCATAATCACAGTGAGATTCAGTACTTAGTTGTCTTGAAAGAGATGAACACTTTGTATTCTTGGAACCCTAATCTTTTTAACCTTAATTTAGTGTCTCAGGCCATTTGAAAGAGATTTAATACATTTTGTCTCATTTAGCCTCTCTCCCCCGAACTGCCATTTCTCTAGCTTTTTGTGTCCTAGCCATTAATTTTGCAATGGGTAGCAGATTTTTCATTCCAGTATTTATCATTGTAGACTATTCATATTGAAATTTAGACACATTCTGATATTGAACAGAGAGTTCAATACATATACATGGTAGAAAGTTGAAGTGTTTTGACTGGTTTGATTGTGCATAAGTCTTGTTTTTCGTTGAAAACATTAATGTCCCACATTTTTTTTAAGCTTAAAAAAATGTAAGTGATTGGTGAATCCATGTTTAGTGTAATATACAATGATAAACTTTTTGGAATATTTAAAATGGGAAATCCGTTGAAGATTTGGGTTAAATGTTTGAAGTATATTGTTTCTACCCAATTGTCTTTACCTCCCTTTTTCACATATTTTTTTTCTTGCACTCCAAAAAGAAAGAAATAAGGTATCATATATACCTCTACCAAACTTTTCCTCTACACACTTGAATCTTACTGAGTGTTATAGCATTGGTAGTACATAAGAGGATTTTCTGCTTGTTGGATTGTTTGAAGGCAGAGTCTGATTGTATTTTATTTGTAACCCTAGCACCTGACTTACTGCTTAACATGGAGGAAAAACCTCTGTAAATGTTCGCTCAATTGGGTTTTTGGATCATACAGAAGTACAGGGAAAGGCAACATTTTGGCATCTTGGTAGCAGAAAAAAACATGCTTTGAAGTTTTCTCCCTCCTGGCAATGTTAGCCAGAAGGAACATTGCCAGATTCTAATGGAGTTGTCTAGTTGAGCGAGATTAGAGAGAGGCTGAGAGCATGCGCTTAGGAGTCTAATCAAGATAGGAAATGTATGCCCAATCATTTCCTGAATTCAGTAATGGGGACAGTTTTGCCATTAGGCCCAGCCCAAACAGGTGACAAGTAACTAAAATATAAAAGGATTCTACCAATACTGGCTTCTGACCAAGATTACTATAAGAAGTACAATTGATTTTTCATAGCACTTTCAGACATCATAAACACTTTATTATAAGAAATTCATTTTTAATGGAGTTTTACATGCCATAGAAAACTAATTTATAGTGCAAGAATATACTTGTTAGGCCAAGTCATATATGTACTAGAATAACAGTCTGGCCATTTCCCACAAAGTATTTGAGCTCAATTTACTAGACCCATGGTAGAATGGTCAATCTTTTTATGAATGTTTCCCCTATTGTTATGAAGTTAGCTGCAGTGGGTTGATATAATGATAAATATTTTGGAACAAAATTGCCTGTGAATGAAATACTTGTAAGCGGTGGTGGGTGAGGAAATCAAATAATCTGGCAGCAGAACTTGCTTTTCCTTAGATGGTCAACTAGATACAATCTCTGTGCCTCAGGAGAGGCATGCTAAGACTTGAAGAAGGCCCAGGGAAAGAGTATCCTTTATTGTTTAATGAGTTTCAAGCAAGATCCGGGTAATTATAGATTCTAGATCTCTAGAGGAAGAAAGAATAACCAGAGCCTTTCTAAGGATAAAGGAAAGGAAATACATCATGATTGACAAGGAGAGGTGCCAAAACACATAATAGGCATAATAGCATACCTAAGACGGAGCAGAGGGAGTTAGAGAGCCCATTGTGTTTATTCATTCAATAATTTGTTCATTCAAAAATATTGAATCCCTTTATATGTACCAGGCACTATGCTTGACCCTTGGCATTTTATAAACATCTCTTAAGAGAACAGGGTACTATGGTGGTTCCATGAAATAAATGGAAAATTGAAAACTGCTTATAAGGAGTGGGTAAGGTTTGCCCTAATTACTGTGGATAGTTATTTTCATTCTTATCCAAATGCATGTAAGGATTGTGGTGGTTAGTAATTCCTAAGGCCTACTTCCTATTGAAATTGCCATTTCCTCCTATCTTTTATCATGGAAAATAACAAATCTTCCTACTTTTAATAGCTTCTAGAGGATCTGTTTAGGTTATTTGGTATTGTTAAAAGAAAAATAAGTTTTGTTACAAAAATTATCTTTGTTAAATAAAGGTTCAACATATGCCATCCCTCTTGGGAAGTCTCGGGAGAATTTTCTTTAATGAGATAAAGATGGTTACTGTGACAATTTTATTTAAATATTCTACTTTATGCCCAGTGGTACATGTTTTTTTCTTCAATAAGTATATAATTTATATAAGTATTTATATAAAATGTGCATACCCATTTCCTATGAAACAAGAGTTCATATCCCAGTTATGAAATGTTTAAAAAATTGAACTTATTCACCATGTGGTCATTGGTATATAAAAACATTTTAACAAAAGATGTGTGGGAAATGGCTGGTCATAGATAAAAGTAGAAAAGTACATATTGTGCCACAATTTGAAAACTCTTACATGCCATGTTCAGGAGTTTGAATTTATCATGTGGTCTTATAAGAGTTTTAAACAATCCTTTGATAGTTGTAAAAACTGTGCCTATAAGACACACTAGGCATTATATAAAAGGTAAATCTTATATGATGATTATTTGACTAAGTATAAACTATGAAAGAGGGAAGTTTCTTAATAGAGCATGATGATGTTATATTAGTGACTATTCAGATTTTAAAATACTTTCTAGAAATGTATATTAGCCATTTCCCTCATTTTATGTCACTTTTTAAAATAGTAATTTAGTTTGGCTATTTTTGTGTTTGTTTTTCATGGTAACTTCCAGACTTCCATAAAAACATTTTTAATGAGAAAAATCTGAAAACTATGCTACTAATTGCACTGATGAGAAAATCTAAATTACTTTCATATAACTGATCTGTGGTACCTAACCTCTTGTAGTTTCTATGCTTTCTTCTAAGTGTTTTCTAAAGAAACTGAGGTGGAAAGTGAGTGGTCACCTGAGAAAGATCATTATGTTAAAGATAACTAAAAGTTTATAGTGGATTGTTCATTTTCGAAGTAAAAAATTAGTTACCCTTCTAATTTTTCAGTGATTCTTATAGCTTTTAGTAATACTTATATTTGGAGCACAAATATTTATTTAAAGGGTCACTACATGTCATACCAAAATTTAAAATACCCCAATTAGGGTTGGGGAAGTATTTCTCAGTCTGCTTTTGTGTAAGATCTATTTTGGGCATCTGGAAGCACGTAGGATGGGACAAGACACATGGTAGGCTTCGGTTAAGAACAGAGGAAGTAGGATAATGACATCACAAACTATCAGGAAACTGCCTTAGCTGGGCAAAACGGCCACTTGGTTAAGAGGAGGGGACAGTTTTGGTCACTGGTGATCAATGACTTTCTATTCTTAACCACTGATTTAAAAGACACAAAGAAAACTGAAGTGGGCCTGCAGTTAATACTAGTTGACTGTGCCAAGAATTTGGTAGCCTGAAACAGTATGGCTATAGAACCTAGAGGATCTTCATAAAGCCCTTACCTTTTCTTATTAAGGAGATAAAAGATGCTTGAGTAGTCCCTCCCTTACCACAGGGAACCTACCCAGCAGGTAGTTGGCAGAGTAAGGATGTGCACACAGATAAACCCAAGGATTCACATTTGGCACAATTCAAGCCTTTTAGGAAGTTAGGAGGGAAGAAGATTTTCTTAACTAGAAATACTTTATGAAGGAGTTGGGCCTTGGAGGATAGATAAAATTTTTTAAAGGTGGAAGTGAGGGAATGAGGAAGATGAGTTCAGGAAATGAACTGGAGATTATTCCTTTTGTCTGGAGTGCTCATGACAGAGGGGTAATAAGATGAGACGAAGAAGATAGGCTGGAATCTGGAGAATTTTGAAAGCACGACTGTCAAATGTAAAGTATTTTTTTATTGCAGTATTTGAAAAACTGCCGTTTAGTGATTTGTGACCAGCATTTTCTTTTTAAATGAAATAGAATAGGAAATATCAGAATACATTATTTTTATAAGGATTGTTTGTGAAACTTTTGCTCCAGGTATGTGTGTTACATGTATACACACATTTACTGGAACCTGATGTAAAGTTTCTAAAGGAGTCTTAGTCGAAGTTAGAAATCCACTGCTTTACTTGACTATGAGGAACAGAGGATTTTAAGTACAAGCATTAAAGGCTCAAAGCAAACTTGAAGATTAATTTGGCAGGATAGTACTATGAAGGAAAGCGAGAGTCCGGATGATGAGAGACCAGTTTGGAGGTTACTGCTGTGCTTCAGAATGATTTGTCCATAATGAGAATGATAGTTCTGGAAATGGAAAGGAATCAAGACTTGGGGAATGATAACCCTACTATATATGACAAATTGAATGTTCGCATGGAAAAGATGGGAGGGAGGAATCAAAAAAAAAGTGTAAGATTTGTAGCCTGGGTACTTGAATGATAATACAGTATCTTTAATAAGAGAATATTGGAAAAGCTAATTCTGTGAAGGCAAGATGTATAGGTAAGCTGAGTTGAAGTGTGCCTGGCACTGGTTCAGAAGGGCTAGGTCTGAAGATAAAGACTTGGTAGATGGCTATCTACATCTGACCATTGAACCTCTGCTGGTAGAAAGGGTTCATTACAAGAAGAGGTTTGAAGAGCCATTAAAATAGATTCTACAGAGTCCTCACTGTGTGGTAAGTATAAGCAGTTTTGTGCTGTCGAACCGTAACAAGTTAAATATTTTACCTGTAATCTTATTTGATGTTTGTGTGGATATAAACCTTTGACTATAAATACCATATCTAATAAGATCTTACGTTTTATTTCTCTTCTAGTCATTTTAGCTTTCTATTTTATAATTGCTTTAATGGTATGCTAACTCTGTAAAATAATTAGGTTTCAACAAGTCAAATACAATTATTTTGTAAACTTTAGAGATTTGCTGAAGGGAATTGTAAAAATAAAGATGCTTGCTCATTTATATGGCATGAAAAGTTTGAGTAGCTTGAATGGTTTTCTTTGAACAAATTAAAATTTTTATTGTCTTTAAGCAGTGAAGAATGACAGAGCGAAGCTTTCAGAATATTTATAAATCCATCTGTATTTAAAATAAAGATAGCATATCTGGTTTTAAAAAAAGCCATTTCATAGCTGTTAAGTGAAATTTAAAGTGTGAAACTTTTTTTAAATATGAGAAATGATATAGGTAATTTTAATCTTTATATATAGATTTCATTCAAAACATCTTGGCTATTTGTATATTGCTATTATATATAGATACAGGTAATATTTTACCAGAATCTACATGTGGGGGGTACAAAAATATTTTGTTAACTCTCTATAAAATGAATATACTGCCCCAAATCACTTATCCTATCTGCTGGAGCCAAACAGATCTAATATACAGCTTCTCAGCAGTGGATTAGCAAATGAAAAGAAGTGCTCTGAACCCAGTAGAGGAAAATAGGAAGTGTCAAGAAATACTCCCATCCCCCTTTCTTCTCTTCCAAGCTTGTAGATCTTTGTGTGACGAGGCCCCTTTGGGGTACGCTAGTAACTGTCTCCGAGCTGTGGCCAGGCTTTTAGATCTTTGTGTGACCAGGCCCCTTTGGGGTACTCTAGTAACTGTCTCTGAGCTATGGCTCCAGGCAGCAGAGCAAACTGGAGGTCTCTGGTGGCAGCAGCCTGGCTCTCTAGCTCCTTCATTCTTCCCTGCCCTTCGCTTGGTCGTCCACCCCCTACTGGTTTCTTTCATAAATAGACTGAGCAAGTGGGCCCCCTACTCTAAAATATTAATCTCATGATCTGTCATTCCACCATTCTGGTTTCACTTCTTTGGATTTTTAAAAAGATTTTATCTGAAAGATCGCCTTTTAAAATGCAAATACCCCTGGGAGAGGTCTGACCTTAGTCCTCAGCTAACATCTTAATTATCAGTTAGTACCTAAGTTTGCCTTAGTACACATTTGCCTGAGAAGAACCCCTGGCTAAAAGTGATAAAACTAGAGGGAAGCTAGCATTTATAATATTAATATTAATAAATAGTAGTAGTAGTAATACTATTATTATTATTATTATTATTATTATTGGCAGGTAAGATGTACTAAGGGCCATATTATTAAGTGCCAGGAATTGTTGTAAGTGCTTTACAAATATAAATTTCCCTAATTCCCTCATCAACCCTATTGATGTTATTACTACTGTTATTTTACAGATAAGAAAACTGAGGTATGTGGAACATAAATAATTGTCTATGTCACGTAATAAATGCAGCCGAGTGTTAGACTCAGGCATTTGGATTCCTTAGGTCTGTTGTGCTGTGAGACCTCTTCCCTGCTATATTGCCTCTCCGAGAGATGGCATCTGATCAACATTTCACCCTTTTTACAATTTTGCATCAAATGGAATTATGCTATTTGATTATAGGCCACTTCCTGTTGAAGGTCAGGGGCCTTGCCATCATCTAAATAGATTTTTTAGTAACAACTGTAACAAAATAGGAAAATTCCTTATAACTAAGGGAATGTATTTGCAGGGTATAGAGAAGAAGGAAGTAAAGAGACTAGTCTATAATCTAACACTATCTTTCCTATTTAAAACTTATTTTGGGGAATTTAAAAATCTGGATTAATAAAATAATTTGTAGTCCTAGTACCCCGAGATAACCCAAAAATGAATGAATGAATATATATATATACATATACACATACATATATGTGTGTGTGTGTGTGTATATATATATATATTCTTTCTAGGTTTTTTTTCTTTTGAGCCTTATTTTCTGAATGTTCTGCAAGGTGTCAACTCATACCACCTCTTTAAAATTTTAGAATGAAATAATTTGAGTATAAATAAACAGCATTTCCCACTTCATCTCTACGAGAAGTTGAACTAATAATTATTGTCTATGACTTGCCAGAAACAAATGTTTAACTAAATTATCTCTGTGTTCTTTATATGATCCTTTTTAAGTAAAAGTAGATAGAAGAGAACTCTAGATTCTTCACTTAATCTCCATATTGGGTCAGTTCTTTCAACCAGTGTTTGGTCAGCACTAATCTACCTCTACTCCTGTCTTTGCTACAGCTTTAATTTCCTTGTAATATCTGGAGCAGTAGAGTCTCCTTTAATTACTCATCCCTCCTCTAGATCTGCCGTTCAGATCCCTCTGTAACCTACATATCTGATTGTGTCATTCTCCTTTATAGAATTCTTCAGTGGCTTCTTATTGCTGGTATGCCCTGGAAGCAGGATTTGAGGATGACTGGGGCAGGGAATTCTCCAGGTCCCAAGTAGCAGTTTAAAAGGGGAGTTTGGGATGTATGCTTGTTCCAGATGGCCACATCCCATGACTCTGCTGACTCCACATAATGAGGGCCAGGCAGGGGCCCTCTAACGTGTCAGGTCTGGGCCCTCATTGTCTGGGTCTAAAGGCAGAGTGTGCTGCTGCTGTGTGGACAGTAAACTTTTGGTGGCAGCAAGGATCAAAGCTGGTAGACCATTTAGGAGCCTAATTGCAGTAATCCACTTGATTGTGGCTTGGTCCAGGGTGGTGGCAGTAGAGATAATAAGTAATCAGATTCTAGATATATTTTGAAGGTAGAGCCAAACATTCTTCCTAAAGGATTGATGTGGGGAGAGAGAAAGAGAGGAGACAAGTATGATTCCAAGATTATTAACCTCAGTACCTGGAAGGATTTAGGGTAATGGAGCATATTAATCACTGATGTCTTACTTTTGCCATTAGCAGCTATTGTTGAATGCTAGTTCTAATAAAATACTATATTTGACCAGATTTTGGGCCTCAGGAAATTTTGAGGGAAGAGAAGTGAAGTGTGTGAAGTTGTGAGGGCTGGGGCTGGCAGTCTTAAATCTTTATTCAGCAAACCCTGTATTTAAGAGTTAAGAAATTGGTGGTGGGCAGGAGTATCTCTGATTGCTAGGAGATTTTACAAAAAAGAGGTGGGAAAAACCAAAAATCAACTTTACCTTTGCAGTTTTCTTAGGGCCTTGGGCAGCATCTGCAAGTAACATTGAAATTCATAGTCTTGCTGTCCTAAAAAATGTAAAGCATTGATCATGCTACACACAATGTTGTGAGTGCTCTGTATCTAGGTCCTCAGCTGCAACCTAAAATTTGTGTTCAATTTATGTTAATGAAGAAAATGTTTTGTGATTCCCTACTTTTTAACTAGATTTCGTTTCACTCTTTTTAGGTTCAGGTAGCAGATGTGTTTCTTTAACTGATAAAGGAACAAGTTTCTGGGTCAGAATCACATTTGTTTTATTATGTTAAGTTTCTTTGGTGTGTGGGGTTTTTTGTTTTTGTTTTTTTACGGTATGCGGGCCTCTCACTGTTGTGGCCTCTCCCGTTGCGGAGCACAGGCTCCGGACGCGCAGGCTCAGCGGCCATGGCTCATGGGCCCAGCCGCTCCGCGGCATGTGGGATCCTCCTGGACCGGGGCACGAACCTGTGTCCCGCGCATCGGCAGGCGGACTCTCAACCACTGCGCCACCAGGGAAGCCCTGTGGGTTTGTTTTTTGAAATAAGCTTCTAATTTCAGATAATGCTTAGCCTGCCAGAATGTAGAAGTTCATTATATTGCCACTCACTTCATATTTTTCCTCTTTTTTCTTAATTTGCTTATACATCCTTGCACATTCCTGAGAGTCTATTCAAATACAAAGACAGAATGGGAGAATGCTTTTCTCTTTCCTTAAGGCAAACTGTCAAGTCTATCAAATCAAGAGTCTATCATCGTTACAGAGCCATGAATTAAAGGTCATTATTGATTTACTACTGGAAAGCCAAATTTTAAATGGTAGTTAATTAGAATATTTCGTATTTTTATTTAGTATTATTTAAATAAATAGAATGTAATATTGATTTGTTCACTATAGCTATGTGTAGATATTTATTGTTTCCTGAGCATTTATATATCTCACAAAATATCTGAGCATACTATGTGCCAGATATTTTGTTATCTCAGTCCTTTAATAATTCTGTGAAGGTGGTATGATCTTCCCTGTTTTACAGATGAAGTTTAGAGAAGTTAGAATATTTGATCAAATCAGACATATAAACAGTATGTGGCAGAGGTAGCTTCAAACCTAAGTTCTTCTACTTCAAAACCCATGCTTTTAACTATGATTATATTTTAGTAACTCCACTTAGGGCTCTCAGAATATAGACACTAATGAGATGTATTTGGGTCTTGCCAGTCCCAATTTTTAAGAAAATGAATATTTTTGTAAACTGCCTTCAGACTATTGGATAAAAGGGGATGTGAAAAGGGATTGCTACCCATTCTTTACCAGTAGATGGTGGCATAAAATTAAAAACAAAGTTTTTAAAAGGAACCATCAGAGAAAGTTAGGTGATGTGTGTGTGCTTTCAGAGCAAGGTGGATGAAAGATTAGTGAAGTCTAGAGTAAATGAAAAGTGAGAACTGCCTATGATATTATGACAGGCAGCCCAAGTACTGGGAGCAGAGAGAGCAATTTTATTAAATTATTCCTGGAAAAATAAAATAATTCCTGGAAAAAATACCTTGTGAAAAAGAAAAATATTGGCTTTTTGTTTTTCTTTTATTAAAAATTTACATTGTTCTGCTTAGTTTTCAGATGCTTCAAATGTTATGAACAGAGACTTGTTTGGATTATGTGTTTCTCAGCTAGACTAAATAAATGCTAACAATGGATAAGTGCAAACACATTGGGCAGTTGCGGCTTGCTCAAGACCATTCCATCCTCAACCCTCAGAAATGGCATTGTGTGGACTGCAATACAACTGAGTCTATTTGGGCTTGCCTTAGCTGTTCCCATGTGGCCTGTGGAAGATATATTGAAGAACATGCACTCAGGCACTTTCAAGAAAGCAGTCATCCTGTTGCATTGGAGGTGAACGAGATGTATGTTTTTTGTTACCTTTGTGATGATTATGTTCTTAATGATAATGCAATTGGAGACCTGAAGTTACTACGAAGTACATTAAGTGCAATCAAAAGTCAAAATTATCACTGCACCACTCGTAGTGGAAGGGTTTTACGGTCTGTGGGTACAAGTGATGATTCTTATTTCTTACATGATGGCACCCAATCTCTGCTTCAAAATGAAGATCAAATGTGTACTGCTCTTTGGCACAGGAGAAGGATACTAATGGGTAAAATCTTTCGAACTTGGTTTGAACAGTCACCCACTGGAAGAAGAAGGCAAGAACAATTTCAGGAAAAAATAGCAAAAAGAGAAGTGAAGAAAAGACGGCAAGAATTAGAGTATCAAGTTAAAGCAGAATTGGAAAGTATGCCTCCAAGAAAGAGTTTACGTTTGCAAGGTCTAGCTGAGTCCACCAGAGTAGAAATAGTTCCTGTTCAAGTACCACTGCAAGCCTCAGCATCACCAGCAAAAGATAAAGTAGTATCTACCTCAGAAGATGTAAGACTAAAAGAAGCCAGTGACTCCTCTGTTAAACGAAGACCAATAGTAACTCCTGGTGTAACAGGATTGAGAAATTTGGGAAACACTTGCTATATGAATTCTGTTCTTCAAGTGTTAAGTCATTTACTTATTTTTCGACAATGTTTTTTAAAACTTGATCTGAACCAATGGCTAGCTGTGACAGCTAGTGATAAAACAAGATCATCTTATAAGCATCCTCCAACCACAGATACAGTATATCAAATGAATGAATGCCAAGAAAAAGAAACATGCTCTGTTCGCCCCAGACATCCAAGTTTATCATCAGGACTAAGCGGTGGAGCATCAAAGAGTAGAAAGATGGAACTTATACAGCCAAGGGAGCCAAGTTCACAATACATTTCTCTCTGTCATGAATTGCATACTTTGTTCCAAGTCATGTGGTCTGGAAAGTGGGCCTTGGTCTCACCATTTGCTATGCTACACTCAGTATGGAGACTAATTCCTGCTTTTCGTGGTTATGCCCAACAAGATGCTCAGGAATTTCTTTGTGAGCTTTTGGATAAAATACAACATGAACTAGAGACAACTGGTACCAGGTTACCAGCTCTTATCCCCACTTCTCAAAGGAAACTTATCAAGCAGGTTCTGAATGTTGTAAATAACATCTTTCATGGACAACTTCTTAGTCAGGTATGGATTTTTAAAAATCTTATTTTCATCTTGGGGAATTCATAAAGTGAAGCCTAAAAAATGCATATTCTCTGTATATCGAGTATGTTAGCACTAGTACTGTTGTCAGGTCAAAATTGGTCACTTTTACAATGTATGAAGAAGTCAGCTCACTCTTATAGTTGCTTCCTTCATGAATCATTGGAAGTAGTTTTACATCCATGGTATTAAAACTTTTTGATGGGGAGAGGGAATCAGGAAACAGAGCTTCTTAGGTTAATGATATTGCATTCGTTCTCTGAGGGATTGAGAAGAGTTTAATCCCACAAGGAACAGATTTGAAGATACTTTTTTTGCGATGCGCAGGCCTCTCACTGTTGTGGTCTCTCCCGTTGCGGAGCACAGGCCCCGTACGTGCAGGCTCAGTGGCCATGGCTCACGGGCCCAGCCGCTCCGCGGCATGTGAGATCTTCCTGGACCAGGGCACGAACACGTGTCCCCTGCATCGGCAGGCGGACTCTCAACCACTGTGCCACCAGGGAAGCCCTAAAGATACTTTTGTACTGGGAATGGATTTGGTGTACACTTGAGAAATTTCAGGGACCAAGGAGTAGCCCTGGAGGATTTCCTATAGAACCAAAGGGGGCAAGGTTTGAAAACTTTAACAAGTAGGTAGCAAAATTTTAAGGTAAATAAATGTGATTTCATCTAGAAATATCCTAAATGGTTTTCCTTTATTTTAATTACACCCGCAAAAATTTCCCTTGTGAAAGTCACAAAACCAGAATCTTCCATCTAATTAATGATTCTCTAGAATGAGTGGACTTGTTGGTAGACTATTACTAGACATCGGCTCTCTACTTTTCCAGAGCATAGAGCTTTAAAAAAAGTTTATTCAAAATTGAGTTATTTGTAGTGAAGTGGATGGACCTAGAGTCTGTCATACAGAGTGAAGTAAGTCAATATGCATATGGCTGATTCGCTTTGTTGTGCAACAGAAACTAACACAGTATTGTGAAGTAATTATACTCCAATAAAGATCTATTAAAAAGTTTATTTGCAAGAGGGATGAGATATGGGGATATATGTATATGTATAGCTGATTCACTTTGTTATAAAGAAGAAACTAACACACCATTGTATAGCAATTATACTCCAATAAAGATGTTTAAAAAAAAAGTTTATTTTTTAACTGAGGCAATTAGGCCCCTATACACATGCTTCTGTTTCTCAGTTCAACTTTCATGGTAATGATACCACCTTTTGTTTTTATAGCATACTTTTCTGGAATGTAGTTTAAATATTTCAAATGTATTTCTTAGGGAATATCTATGAAGTTTATTTCCCTTCATATTTCAGAAATGTATAGATTCTACATTGTGTCAATTAGCACATAAGAGTTGTGCTTCTTGTGTTGCATGCAATTTTATTTTTCCACTATCTTTCTCTGCCATTTTTAACTTTTTATGCAAAAGTTAAAATACACAATTATAAAGAAAATAATATATACCGTATAGAAAATCTATATGGTATAGTAAATCTATGCAGAAGAAAAATCATCCCTTAGTACTATAACTCCACATAACCCACACATAAAACTATTAATATTTTGGTATATTTCCATCTAGGTTTTTTTTTTTCTTCTGAATATTTATACATATTTTTCCCACTAATTGTATGGTCATGTTGAATTTACCTGCTTTTTTTCACTTTTTCATTTAATAATGTAAGGATTTTTCATAGTCATCAAAATATTTGATCATTCTTTTCACAACATTTCAGTGTCCATCATATGTATATACCATAATTTATTTAATCATTTCCATATTGTTGACTTGTAAACTGTTTCCAGACATCATTATAATGTCATGATCAATTAATATGGTTTTTCTAATGATTTCCTTAGGACAGAGTCCTAGAAGTAGAATTACTTTGTCAAACATTAGGACTTTTGATACTTGGCTGCAAATTTCTTTCCAGAAAGTTGCCATTTTATATTTTGAATAGTGCAAGAGTGGTTATGTGCTTGTTTTTTCCTTTATGGATGAATTTTGAAACTAATAAAAATTGTTGTGGTAGCATTTTGCTTTCTTCGTTTCAATGTGTAATAAACACTTAGGAAACTGGTCATCTCAGGAGATTCAGAGGTTGGAATGCCCCGCCCCGCCCCACCCCCACACCAAATTCAAGAAACTGTTCTCAAAAGGTCAGACCATGGTCCTAGTGAGTTCCCAAACTAAACACCAGGAGTATTATTTTCTTTGTGTCATTGTGTTAAATCTAAAATCTACATTAAAATTGGCCTCTTTATTTTTTTGTTTGTTCCAGGAATATAGCTTTTATGAAAGAGTTTAGTGATATTTCGTATCATGTGTGGATTTTTAGATCTACAGAGTCTGTCTTCAGTTATGGGCAGTGTTTGTTGGCATTAAATCCTGCTGAATGCTTTACTGAAATTATTATTCTTTCCTTTTCCAGTTACTCTGTTTCCTACATAAGTTGTTAGAAAGGCCTCATATTCTGTATGGTTCCTATATTTTGATGAGGATTTTAATGTAGTGATGTTTGCTTTAAGTGGGAGTATTTATATTATATGTATAATATTTATATTATATGTATATTTATGTTATATGTACTATCCTTTGAAATTATCAGTTGGTAAGGCTTCAAAATATATACTAAATATACCATATATAAAAATATACGATATTTTAAAATCTGTATATAAAAATATACTAGTAGTATTTTACTTGTATCATGGTTAAGAGGTTGTAGGGATTTGGGGAGAGAAAATCAATCAGTGAAAGATGAGGAAGGAAAAGGGGCAAAGAACCTCAAGTCTAATAATCTAAACACATTAAATTAAATTTATATAAATATATATCATATATATTATATATGTATAGACGCACATACACACACACATATATATACACACAATGGGTATATAACTGAGTCCATGGTTTGGTTTTCTACTAAATTCAGACTTGACTAATGCCCTTGGAGCTTTTCGAATGCCTAGTAGTTAAAGCCCATCAATGCATGATGGATTTATGGAAGAAAAAAATTATTCTCTGAAAATAATATAAAACAGATTATTCAGAATTCTGATAGTGCATCTTCAGAAGAAGAGCTAATTTACTGGCAGTGACTTCTAGTGAAAGGAATAAATATTTTGACAGAAGGATTGTAATCTGAGAAACTAATATTTTTATTTGCAGGTTACATGTCTTGCATGTGACAACAAATCAAACACCATAGAACCTTTCTGGGACTTGTCACTGGAATTTCCAGAAAGATACCAATGCAGTGGAAAAGATATTGCTTCCCAGCCATGTCTGGTTACTGAAATGTTGGCCAAATTCACAGAAACCGAAGCTTTAGAAGGAAAAATCTACATATGTGACCAGTGCAATTGTAAGTAGCAGCTGTATATTCTCTTTGCTTTTCTAAGGTTAGCAAAGAGAAACACAAGTGAAGGAAGCTGGAATAAATTCCTTTAGTAGCAGGTACAGAAATAAACTGTTAGTTTATCAAAAGAAACTTGGCTGGATAGTTCTACTTTTTAATTGGCATTTGTGAACTATGTGTTTGTTTTCCCTTATTGATGACATTAAAAATGTTTTGATCCTATAGTAAATTATAGAAAGAATTCATAAAATAAAATTTAAATTTAATATGTGAGGGCAGAATAAAGTAGCAAAGGGGAATAGTAAAAGGTAACCATGTTATTTAGTACTGAGTGAAATGTTTGCTTTATGAGTCTTTTTGCTACATCAAAACATTGATATATAGATAATATGTGTGTGTGTGTGTGTGTGTGTGTGTGTGTGTCTACATACTTATAATAGGAAATAAGACATATAGCTGGACTGCTGCTATGGACTTTGGCTTCATAAAAACAAAAATTTATTCAAAAACCATCTACTGACTGTCTCTTCTATGTTAGTAATTGTTCTAGTTGCTGTGGATAGACGTAAGACACTTTCAAGATGCTCACATACCTAATGGAGGAAACAGACAATTAAGATCTACTATGATAAGCTCTCTGATAGAGGCGAGCATAGGAACCCAGCACTGGGGGATGAAATAGCCATTTCAATTAAAGAAGCATCATCCTCCGGGCAACGGTATACAAAACCACATCGGATCTTCTGTGTCTTTATCCAGTTTCTTTATCTTTGTCGATGTGTACATGGCATTTTAGTGTTTATACTTTATATTTGCAGATATTCTCCTTAAGCTCCATGTCTGAAAAAATGATTCTAGGGCTTTAGATACTAAACTTCTAAGGTAATAAAAAGAAACATTGGCTGTTCCAGCATTGAAAAAATGGCACATCAGTTGATAGTATTCTAGAACAACTTATACTAACATTGTTTTCTGTGTGCTGCCTAATATAAAATCTGTTAATTTATAGGAGCCTAAGATTTATAAGGTTAAAAGAAAATAAACCTTTATCAAATTTGTATAGTGAAGTATTTTTTTTCTTGGACATAAATGTGAATGGTCCTAGGTGCTTCCATCACCAAATCTGGGAGTAGAAAGATATGAATAAATGCAGAATATGGCTTTATAACATGTTTGTGTGTGTCTCCTCGGTCCACCAAATAAGGGCCTAAAAGAGCTGCTTTAATTTAATACATAATGGCGAATGTTTAAAATTATAATTCAAGGAGTTAACATCGTTTGTGTAGCTACACTTGGACCATATATTTCTGGATGACAATCCAAAGGTAGGTCTTTGACATTCAGCAGCAGCCCGATACCTGGATCTCAGGGGCATAGACCTGGAGGAAAGGCTTCTGGTAGCAAGAGGAGATGGGTTAGAGGACAGCCTCATGGTGGACTGATTCTACTTCCTACATGAGAAGCAGCTGCTGCTACGGCTGGAGTCGCAGTTGTACAAGTTGAAGAATAGCTCCTAGACATCAAGAGCAAATTTTGGTAGCCAATGGCCCAGCCAGGACAAGGTCCATAGGTGGACCTCTAGAGAAGCAGGGGGGTAAACAAAAAAGAATCCTCATTTCCACTTGTTTAAGATTTGGTACTAAAATAGCAAGATACTGAGGGAGACCTCAGATGCTGAGCTAGTAAAGGCTTGCTTTCTTGGGCAGTGCTGGGGTGGATCCCCAGGAAGCAGGGATGGGTGTTCTTGGAAGGAAGGCCCCATGCCCCCGGGATCCTGATTAGCTTCAAGAAATGAACTGACCATGAAACGTTTTAATTAGACTCAGAGTATATTAAAGTATGTTTAGGGAGAGTTTTAACTTTTCCTGTTAGTTGGCATGGCCAAATCCATTTAAAAATATTATAGCCCAGTATCATTCTGTTGCCTTATTTTCAGGATTATATTAAATCATGTACAGTATATATGGGGGATTGGTTCCAAGAGCGCCCACTTTTATACCAAAATCTACCGATGCTCAAATTCCGTAGTAGGTCATCTGTATCTGCAGATTTCGCATCAGCGGATTCAACCAACTGCGGATGTAAATTTCGATCCATGGTTGAATCTGTGCATGCGAAACCTGCAGAGGGCCGACTGTACATGTATTGAAAAAAATAATAATCTGCATGTAAGTGGCCCCGTGTAATCCAAGCCTTTATTGTTCAAGAGTCAATGTGCTTATTTGTTTACATGTCTGTATACCTTGACTAGCTCATAAGTTTTGTGTGTTTACATGATTCTAAGTGTCTTGAGGGCAAGGCCGTGCCTTTATCTCTAACACAGTAAAATGCCTGTAATGCAGTAGATGTTTAATTGATAATGCATGTCTGAATTATTTTGAGTTTACCCAGCTTTTCCTTGTATCCTTAAATTTGCATCTCATTCTGTCTTTAATATCACAGCAAAGCGTAGAAAGTTTTCCTCAAAACCAGTTGTACTCACAGAAGCCCACAAACAGCTTATGATTTGCCACCTACCTCAGGTTCTCAGACTACATCTCAAACGATTCAGGTTAGTAGTAGAATAAATTTTAATACTTGGCTAGATGACTTATCTACTTGTTTTTTTTTTTTAAGGGAAAAAAATTATGTCATTGTCTCTAGCCCTAATCACAGACACCATGTTCAGTAACTCTCCTTGATTATCTTCCCTTGCAGAATGTATTGCTGATCAGCAGACCCCTCGCATTTCGGTCTGCTAGTATCATTCTCCTTGTAAGTCCCTGCTTATAGTGTTTAATCTTCAGCATATTTTAGGTATAAAATTTTTAAGATTAAAAAAAATGTTTAAGATTTAAATCTATAACTTGAGAGTATTTGATTTGAGAGTATTCAGCATATTTTAGGCATAAAATTTTTAAAATTTAAATCTATAACTTGAGAGTATTTGACCCAACTGCTTCACGCTTGGAAAATATTTGAACAATGGTATAGCAGTTCACTTCCAAGCAGTTAAAAACAAAAACAAAAAGCTTTAGTTTTCAGAAATATATTTAGATAAATTAGTTGGCAAATCTGTTGGTTAATCAAAGCATATGGATTCATACCTTGTAATAACCATGTTAACTTGAGAGTTTATTTTTCTCTTAAGAAATGAGAAGTTACTTTATGTGCTATGATTTGAAAACTATTGAGATCATGTTTCTTGTACATATTAGTTGTTGCCGGTTTCTTTCTTTTTTAAATTAAAGGAATACATGTTAAAAAAAATTCAAACATTACAGAAGGTACTGTAAAAGCCCAAACTAAAAGTACCTCTTTCTCTCAGTCCCACTTCCCAGAGATAATCACTGTTAATGGAAATAATTGACTAAAGTTATTTAAGCTGTTAAAAGTACAGTCAGCAGATACCATGTGAGTGTTTTTTAATGCCAGATGTTGTTTCATATTCTTTGGGGAATATAAGGTTGGATTCTTTTCTCAACAAGATTATAATCAGGCATGCCCAGAAATAATGGTGAAGTAGAAATACCAAGTATCACAAACTATATACAAAATGATTTATCAGCGCCTTGGAGGAGGGAGTTAGGCAAAATCTAAACATTCCCAAAGCCTCTCTAATGGCATAGAGGACTTTGTATAATTTAAATCTCAGTTCATATTTCATCTCTTTAGAGGACTTCCCTGACCATCCTATTTAAAAGTAGCACCACCCAACCTTCAGTGTCACGTTACCTACCCTATTTTTGCTTCATGGCAAAAACCAGTATCTGCAATAGTTTATTATTTCTCTCCCCACAAACAGAAACTCAGTAATGGCATGGATCTTGTCTTTTTCATTCCTATATTCCAAAGCCTAGAACTGAGTACACAGTAGATGCCCCGAAATATTAAGTGAATGAATGGGGTGTATACAGGAGGAGGACTTTAGCCTGAGAGCAACCTGAACAAAGGTATGAAGGAAGGAAAGGGTATATAACAAAAGTTTAGTGAAAAGTCTGGTGAGACCTGCCATGGTGTGTAAAATCAAGTGGAATGAAAACAGGAAGATTGTTAGGAGGTGAATATTGTTCAGGGGGCCAGGTAGCATGGAGAGGTGAGAACATATAAGATTTCATAAAGACAGCATTGAAAGGACTTAAATTTATGGTACTTAAATTGGTACTTAATTGGCTACTATAAATCGTTGAAGAACCTCCTGTTCTTCATAATTGACTCTTTAATCTGCCATTTAAAGCTCACCTTAATTTAAACCTATTTGACCCCCTTCCATCTTCTGCCCAAAACATTTTTGACGCTTCATGCCATATTTCTGATTCAGAGACCATTTTTATGCAGCCATTACCACCACATTTATCTCTTTCCTTTCTCTTCATCTATTCAAAAAGTACTATTGTATTTGCCAGTGTATATACATAGGGTATATACATGGGGTATATAAGATAAAAGGGAGAATGGGATTGGGGAGGGGCGCCCAAGAGCTTTTAAGAAGCATAAGAAACAACATTTCTAATACCTTAGAAGCTCCGATGTGTGTGCCTCCTAGTCCTATTCCTGCTCCCTCTCAGAAGTAAACCATTATGAATTCTGGATATACTGTTATCTTTTTCTTTATCATTTTACTGTATTTTTATCAGCAGAAAATAATGGGTACCCATCTATTGATAGAAATGAATATTTTTTTTCTTTAATTTTTATTTTATATTGGAGTATAGTTGATTTACAATGTTGTGCTAGTTTTAGGTGTACAGCAAAGTGATTCAGTTATACATATACATATATCTATTGTTTTTCAGATTCTTTTCCCACATAGGTTATTACAGAGTATTGAGTAGAGTTCCCTGTGCTATATAGTAGGTCCTTGTTGATTATCTATTTTATATATAGTGGTGTGTATAGGTTAATCCCAACCTCCTAATTTCTCCCTCCCCCGTATCTTTCCCCTTTGGTAACAATAAATTTGTTTTCAAAGTCTGTGAGTCTGTTTCTGTTTTGTAAATAAGTTCATTTGTATCATTTTAGATTCCACATGTAAGTGATGTCATATGATTTTTGTCTTTCTCTGACTTCACTTAGTATGATGATCTCTAGGTCCATCCATGTTGCTGCAAATGGCAGAAATGAATATTTTCTAATTAGATAACTTTTTAGCATAATTAAATAATTTAAGGTTTGAATTTTATGGTAAAATAAAAGGGAGATAAGTGAGAATGACAGGAACTTAGGTTAAGCAAGTCCCATTATTTTCCATGCTTCGTCTTCCATCTTTACTAAGATTAAAGGTACACTGGATACAGGATTTTTTTATACATTTAATAGGGAAAGATTGGGATATGACTTCTAGTCCAGCAGATGACATAATTTGCAAGTCTCAGCTTTAGTTCCATACCACATTTTACATCATACTAATAAGCATTTTCACATTTTTTTCCTTCATAAAACCTGTCTATATGCCCCTCTCCCTTCTCTACCTCCTGCTGTCTTAACCTCATGTTTTAACACTTTTTTAAAACATTTATTTATTTTTGGCTGCATTGGGTCTTTGTTGCTGCGCACAGGCTTTCTCTAGTTGCGGCGAGAGGGGACTACTCTTCATTGCGGTGCGCGGGCTTCTCATTGTGGTGGCTTCTCTTGTTGCGGAGCACGGGCTCTAGGTGCGCGGGCTTCAGTAGTTGTGGCACATGGGCTCAGTAGTTGTGGTTTGCGGGCTCTAGAGCGCAGGCTCAGTAGTTGTGGCACATGGGCTTAGATGCTCTGCAGCATGTGGGATCTGCCCTGATCAGGGCTCAAACCCGTGTCCCCTGCATTGGCAGGCAGATTCTTAACCCCTGCGCCACCAGGGAAGCCCCAATACTTTAATACTACATTTTCATCTGTCTCTCTTTTGTCTCTGCACCATACCACCCCAAGTTGGATTATAATCTCTTGAAAGAACTAACATATATTACATTATTTTTCTCCTGTAGCACCAATTCATACTATGCATAAGATGAAAACATTGCTTTACATGCATAGACCCCGTACTGGGAAGCATGACCAACAGACTGAGAAACTGACAGTATAGGGACATTATTTGAGTTTTGTCACTAACAGGTGTTATACTGATTTACACACAGGGAAGGGTCACAGTTTCTATTTTTTTAGTATGAAGAGCTCTGAAATGTTCTGAGGAATTAGAGGTGCCCTGTTTTTTTTCTTCTCCACCCCTGGCCAAGAAAGGTCCAGGTTATGTCTCCCAGGAACAAACTCTAGGTTCTGGAACATCCTCCTCAAAGTATGGACAAGACAGTAAGAATTAAAAACCCTTTGGTGTGTTGAATTTCTCTCTTCAAAGGGGGAAAATGCCATAGTGCCATATTTTTCTGAAAGTTAATTTTCTTCCTATACTGTCATCTAACTACAGAAGCCAAATAATTTATTTTACAACCTGACTGTACCTGTTTGGTAAATAAGCCTACATTCCTCTATTTATAGCCAACTTTAGCATTGAAAGGATTTTCTATTTACACTATTTATTATATATGATTGTACTCTACGCTGAGGCCTTCTATTATTATGAGTTTGGACCTAGTACGTGGTTATTTTCCCTTGATTTTGTTGATAATTTTACCCTGATTTGTTCGTAGGTGGTCAGGACATAATAACCGAGAGAAGATTGGTGTTCATGTTGGCTTTGAAGAAATCTTAAACATGGAGCCCTATTGCTGCAGGGAATCCCTGAAATCCCTCAGACCAGAATGTTTTATCTATGATTTATCTGCTGTAGTAATGCACCACGGGAAAGGATTTGGCTCAGGACACTACACTGCCTACTGTTATAATTCCGAAGGAGGTAGAGACGAGAAAAAGTATTTTATCTTGGGTTAGACTTTTGGAAGCCAGAGTTCAGGCTTTCAGGGTTTCTAAACTGACCACTAAGTAATCTTAAGCAAGCCACTTGACTTCTGTTTTCTTTCAAGAAGAATGCTTCTGCAGTATTGTTCATAAAAAACAGGGGGTTTTGTGCAGAAAATGGGATATTTTATGCAGGATTGTGGTAGTTTTGACTTCTAAGAGCTGAAGGGATAAAATAGTAAGGATGGTCTCAGTAATTAAAGGTCAGAGAGTGCTAAAGGCACACTTCCAAGAGTAGATCCTCTGTTTTAACTGGTTTAATTCAGTTACTTTCGTTAAAGAACAAAGCATCTAACGAACTGGCAGATCACAGATATTTGGAACAAACTTTGAGTTCAAGTTCTAACATATAAAACTTTTACTTACTGCCTCCATGAACCTTAGAAAAAAGAGGTATGGACAAAAGGCCCCAAATAACCCATGAAGGCAATTAATTTAACACTACCATGAGTTGTACACTATTTGCTTTACAGTATAATTATCAGCAAAGCATGAACTGGTAAGATTATACCAGGAATTAAAGCTAGTGTCAAGTGAACCAATCGGTCAGATTCTGTAACTTCAAATTACTTCTAGGATAAAGGTAGATAATTCCAGAGTAACATACTGCCCAAGCTGTATTTCTAATTTAAAGAAATAAATTGGCTAGACTATTATTTTCCCTTTGAAAAAAGCTTAGCTCTCACTGAAACTGTCTTTAAATCCATGTTTTCATTTATACTAGAAACTTCTAAAGTTCCTTTGTAAACATTAAGATGTATTTCTGTGCTTCACTCTAGGGTTCTGGGTACACTGCAATGATTCCAAGCTAAGCATGTGCACTATGGATGAAGTATGCAAGGCCCAAGCTTATATCTTGTTTTATACCCAGCGAGTTACTGAGAATGGACATTCTAAACTCTTGCCTCCAGAACTCCTGTCTGGTAGCCAACATCCCAATGAAGAAGCTGATGCCTCTTCTAATGAAATCCTTAGCTGATCCAAAGACAGTGGGGCTTTCTTCTTGTGATTTGTATATATACTTTTTAAAAGGGCTGACTTAATTTTGAGCTTCATTGTTTTTATTTTTACTTACTAATCAGTGCACACTATGTTTACATATTTTGTATCTAACTACAACAAATCTTTTTTACAGAGGAAGTTAGCATAAGTATATGTGTATCAATGTCAGCAGGTAACTAAACGTTTTCCAAGTACTTGGGAGTTTTAAACTTTTAGTGTTTACCTCAGACTGGTGTTACCTCTTTTATATTTCGATGTCTTAATTGGCTCAGATCATGAATTTGTGCAATCTTCTACTGAAGAAGTTCAGGTGGCATCATTTTATACATTTCTTATTTATCTTTTATAGCTATTTTCTATACAAATTCTTATCAGACAGAATATTAGACTTTTTTCACTAATAGTCTTACCAAAAAAAAAAAAAAGGCATTTCTTTCAGATTTGTATACTGAAGTCACCTTTGCCCTCTAAAGGGAGTTAAACTACTACAAAGTGAAATATCAAGGTATCACTTAAATACTCACTGATCACACTCATTAATATTCCTGAGGCTTTGTGTGTTACAGGGCTCAGAACAGACATTATTTTGGTTATTGGAACTTCCTTTTTTCAAAAATTTATTAAGTTTTAATAATTGTTCTTTATTTGGCATAGTCAAACTGTATACAAATGAAGATGACAGCTTTATAAATAGCATGTTTAAATGACTTCAGTACTATGGACATGAAAACAATGCTGGCCGAGATTTATAATGATTGTCTGGCAGTAAATAGGTTTGTCCAGATTCTAATAAAGCAGTCATAAAAAAACTGAATGTAGCAAACAGTATATTATGATATAATACAAGTACAGTTCAACTTGGATATGAGTTCATTTTATATATTTAACATTAGATCTCTTAAAGCTTTGTACTATATTGTATCTTGAAATTTTTAGTTTAAAGGGATAAAAATAAGTCGAGGAGAAAAAATTGCATAGGACACACAAGATATTGGCATCTGGGCAAAATATTCAGTATCTCATTTTTCTAAATAACTAAAGCCTGGATTAAGTTACTCTTGCTAGGATTATGTGAATACTAAGAGCCTCTTAGATATTCAAACACTGGGCCCTGACTTTTTTAAAATTAAAAAAAATTAACTTGCATTTTATTAAAAATATAGTATGTAATACTCTTTGCTCTTCCCTAACAACCTTATTAGATCTCTTTAAAGTCCTACAGCTGCTAATTTAATTTTATTCAGAAAGATGAGAATCCATTAACCTCTATAGAAGAGCTATGTAATATCTTAGCTAAGTGTTAACCACTGGAAGATGATTTATCTTTTTTCTCAAGTGGGTTTTGCTTGCAGGTTGAAATCATTTCAGGCAGCTGATCGTGAAGTGCAATGAGAATTTATCACTGAACAAATCATTCATGCCAAAACTACAGCTCGAGTATTAAATGGCTAAGGTTTAAAATCATTCATCTATTAAATACCTATGCAAGTTGTTACCTCAACTGTTAACATTATTATACCTCATTAAAGATTTACTGTGGTCAAGATACCTGAGTCTAGCATTTCTTAATGTCAAGGATTACTTTATACTTAAACTGCTACACCTTTTAGTACCTAATTTTAGTGGAACAGTTAAAAACAGCTCTGGAAGCTATGTTGTTTACAATGGTATAGTTGCTTGTTTCAGTATTACTTCAATGTAAATACATACGAGAAAGTAGTAAGTGACTTAGCCCTTTACTTTTTAAATCCTTAAAACTAAAACCTATGGGGGAGGCTCTGTGTTTCTGAAGTCGAGGAAGGCGGTACATGGGAACTCTGTACTTTATGCTCAGTTTTGCTACAAACCTAAAACTGATCTAAAAAAATGAAGGCTATTAAAATAAAACTAAAACCTAGTCAATGAACAGAAACTTATATTTCTTACAGTACATCTCATTGTGGACTTACACATTCTGCTAAGTGGATCTAACAAAAAACAACGTGTTTTGGTTGTAAAATAATTTACTAAAGGCACTATTGTTAAACATCAAGCTAATAATTTGTTACCAATAAGGTACATCATTGTAAACATGACAAAATGATTTCAAGAGATACATGGCTAGTAGGTGAACAATACAATTTTTAAGTAACAGCTTTCCTATTTACAAGATCATATCCCTTGCCATCCCGGGGCATGCAGTGATGCCACTGCTCCCAAATTGGGAAGGGAGCTTCAAGCTTAAAATTGGTTTGAGATCACTACTGCTAAAGAGGTTTTACAAAGCTACAAATTCTTGACTCAATTCGAAAGTTCTTGGGTTTAGAAATCAAGATACTTTACACCTCCCACCAAAGCACATCAGAAAGGTATGGACTCAAAACCCCAAAAGAGCTAGCTGGAGGGCACAAGCCCTGTAACATGTCCAGGCGTGAACTGGTGAGCTCTGCCACTTGCACATCATCAGAGTAAATGGAGAGATTATTCAAAGGTAGCTATTGAACATTAGCACCATAATAAACATGGCTCATATAGCTAAAAACTATACTGTTTATCCCACAAGTTAACATTTATAGCTCTAATCTGAAAGAGCAACTTTTTAATGTATAATAAATGATTTAGTACAGAAGTCAGGTTTCTTAGGAGAAAAATGTTAAACAAAATACAAACTAAACAGCATCCCAGAGGCAATCTTATTGTGCTAAAGCATATACAAATTAAGGCTTTACCCTGGTACATAACAATTTTGAAATTACGTGGGAACATTCCCAACGAATCATTTACACGGAATTCAAGCAATCTGCTCAAGAACTGTGGGGCTCAGTTCAAACAAGTATTAGGCATCTCACATTTAACTTCTGCACTTAGCTGCTATGAGCATCATTATAACCTCACTTCCTGAAATACCGCCCATGATGTTATGAATTCAAGCCAGTACAGGGGCAGGGTGTTAAGAGAATTTGGTTCACTAATGAAAAAGCCTAAATAACTAGAACAAGATCCAAACATGGGAAGTACTCCTGTTTTTCTTTATTTGTGTGGTTTTAAGCGCCCTTTTCACTTACTAAGCTGAATACATTTCTCAATAAATAACTACCACTGGACAAAGGATCTAAAGGTTGAGATTTTAGTAAATCAAGGTTTTAAGTTGGTACAATGTTCCTACTAATATGTTTTAAGTAGATCTTTCCAATGTCAGGAGAAAAATGAGAGACGAGGACTAATATGGTCCTAAAAAGAAAATAAAGGTAAAATATGCCTAAAGCTGTATATTAATTTATGAAGATTCTCCTCCCACTTTATGCATCTATAGATCTTGTTTTAGCCACTACGTCAGAAGAAAAGTTTCAGTGTGGAGGTCTACAATCCAGATAAAAGGCTCTACATTTTCCTACATTAAGCTAAACTATTTCCTGTACAGAATTATAACCACAGACATTGAAATATAGCTCTCAGATCTGAAAATGTCTTTATTTTTTAGAAAATGGATTCCAGGAAGGTTAAAAAGCAATACCAGAGGGTATAGGTGCAGAACTAGATGTGGTCATTCAAAGCATTCAATTAAGAATATGGCAATATAAATATCTGAAAAGCATCTCTTAGGTGTTTGAAACAAAATGTATTAGGTCATTCCTAATTAATTGGAGCTTTATAGCATTTCCTAGACAGAAGGAAAACAGTTAACATTTCAAAGTCCTGAAAGCTTTTTCCTTGGTTAATTACATTAAATGGTTTGCCTTTGATCAAATTCCTTCCTTTTTAAACATGGATAAAAGTATTACATAGGTCCACTGTTAAAGACAACAGGTTGCAAATTAATTCTGGTATAATGTATTCCAACAAAGCTTAGAAAATAAAAGGTATTGCGGTGGCTCTGGACTAAGTTTAATAGTCATCTCCTCTGCTGACAACTTCTTTACATGTTGGACGCAAAAGTATGGTATGTTCAAACTGCGCTGTATATGATCCTTTAATGTCACATAATGGTGGATATGGATCTACAATACCCAAGTCACACAGATTCTTCAGAGCCATCAAGTATTTACTTTCTCCCAAACGATCCAGCCATCTGCGGCAGAAGGCAAGGGTGCCAAAGTTTTCATTGATGACATTTAACAAGTGTTTTGTTCTTGGAAGCCTAAGACAAGAAAATCCAAGATTAATAGTTGGCTAAAAAGTTAGCAACTCATTTCCCTCATTAAGGAAAACTCAAACCAAAGCTATGACTTCACTTAGTAATTAAAGTTCAAAAAACTCTTTTTTGCTGCCTCTTTCAACATTCAAAAACCAGAATGTATAATACCCAATTATAGATGGCAGATGAATAGGAGACCAGATGAAGGCTACCTTATATTTATGTGTCTATGCGTGTGTGTGTTAAATTCCAAGTACAGACTCATCAATAGTATGAAGGTGGGAATTTCCCTTTTGGGGGAAATTTCGGCAGTAAACTGAAAGACCTGAACAAAAAGTAGACACTTCAACCATCTCCGAAAAGTAAAAAAAAAAAAAAGTAAATAAAAATATAATACAGCAGAGGGAGGAACACTCCCAGATTCCTTCTACAAGGCCACCATCACCTTGATACCAAAACCAGACAAGGATGTCACAAAGAAAGAAAAATACAGGCCAATATCACTGATGAACATAGATGCAAAAATCCTCAACAAAATACTAGCGAACAGAATCCAACAGCACATTAAAAGGATCATACACCATGATCAAGTGGGGTTTATTCCAGGAATGCAAGGATTCTCCAATATACGCAAATCTTATCAATGTGATAAACCATACTAACAAATTGAAGGAGAAAAACCACATGATCATCTCAACAGATGCAGAGAAAGCTTTTGACAAAATTCAATACCCATTTATGATAAAAACCCTGCAGAAAGTAGGCATAGAGGGAACTTTCCTCAACATAATAAAGGCTGTATATGACAAGCCCACAGCCAACATCATCCTCAATGGTGAAAAACTGAAAGCATTTCCACTAAGATCTGGAACAAGACAAGGTTGCCCACTCTCACCACTATTGTTCAACATAGTTTTAGCCACAGCAATCAGAGAAGAAAAGGAATCCAAATCGGAAAAGAAGAAGTAAAGCTGTCACTGTTTGCACATGACATGATACTATACATAAAGAATCCTAAAGATGCTACCAGAAAACTACTAGAGCTAATCAATGAATTTGGTAAAGTAGCAGGATACAAAATTAATGCACAGAAATCTCTGGCATTCCTATATACTAATGATGAAAAATCTGAAAGTGAAATCAAGAAAACACTCCCATTTACCACTGCAACAAAAAGAATAAAATATCTAGGAATAAACCTACCTAAGGAGACAAAAGACCTGTATGCAGAAAATTATAAGACACTGATGAAAGAAATTAAAGATGATACAAATAGATGGAGAGATATACCATGTTCGTGGATTGGAAAAATGAACATTGTGAAAATGACTCTACTACCCAAAGCAATCTATAGATTCAATGCAATCCCTATCAAACTACCACTGGAATTTTTCACAGAACTAGAACAAAAAATTTCACAATTTGTATGGAAACACAAAAGACCCCGAATAGCCAAAGCAATCTTGAGAACGAAAAATGGAGCTGGAAGAATCAGGCTCCCTGACTTCAGGCTATACTACAAAGCTACAGTAATCAAGACAGTATGGTACTGGCACAAAAACAGAAATATAGATCAATGGCACAGGATAGAAAGCCCAGAGATAAACCCACGCACATATGGACACCTTATCTTTGATAAAGGTGGCAGGAATGTACAGTGGAGAAAGGACAGCCTCTTCAATAAGTGGTGCTGGGAAAACTGGACAGGTACATGTAAAAGTATGAGATTAAATCACTCCCTAACACCATACACAAAAATAAGTTCAAAATTGATTAAAGACCTAAATGTAAGGCCAGAAACTATCAAACTCTTAGAGGAAAACACAGGCAGAACACTCTATGACATAAATCACAGCAAGATCCTTTCTGACCCACCTCCTAGAGTAATGGAAATAAAAACAAAAATAAACAAATGGGACCTAATGAAACTTCAAAGCTTTTGCACAGCAAATGAAACCATAAACAAGACCAAAAGACAACCCTCAGAATGGGAGAAAATATCTGCAAATGAAGCAACTGACAAAGGATTAATCTCCAAAATATATAAGCAGCACATGCAGCTCAATAACAAAAAGCAAACAACCCAATCCAAAAATGGGCAGAAGACCTAAATAGACATTTCTCCCAAGAAGATATACAGACTGCCAACAAACACATGAAAGAATGCTCAACATCACTAATCATGAGAGAAATGCAAATCAAAACTAGAATGAGATATCATCTCACACCAGTCAGAATGGCCATCATCAAAAAATCTAGAAACAATAAATGCTGGAGAGGGTGTGGAGAAAAGGGAACACTCTTGCACTGCGGGTGGGAATGTGAATTGGTTCAACCACTATGGAGAACAGTATGGAGGTTCCTTAAAAAACTACAAATAGAACTACCATATGACCCAGCAATCCCACTACTGGACATATACCCTGAGAAAA